TAAGCTACACGATGAAGCTTTTCCTCTACCAGATTTCTGAGATAAAGTAGTCCTTCCAAAATATTATAGAAATTGCACTTTATCCTGACTTACTGCCTTAACATTTCAAATAACAAGTGTATAAAATTCACATCCAGTTAGACAACACTAGTTATGGTTGCTATGGTAATGGGCTCAGAGCCTATAAGCAGAAAAAAAATAATTCCTTTTGGGCATGATATTTATGAATGTGTCTGGTTACATGGCAAGAGTATTTTCCTTTGGCTTTTCTTTAGAGTAATTTATATATTCAGACAGATGATCCTTTATGCATATAAGTTCTCCCTAGGAAGAGAGAAAGTAAATATGTGAAGTTTTTTATACTGAAAATATCTAGTATGGTTATAACATGGATTTAATTCTCACTTATAAAGAACTTAATTTCAGATAAAAACCACAGGAAGAAATGTATATTTCATGGTGAGGAGGTGAGTAATGAAATGTACAGTAATGTACATTTGTTTTTAACCAGAGTTGCGGGCATGTCTGATATTTTAAAGGGCCAGAGGTGGTCACCGGGGGATCCAGGAGCAGCAGTTTGATTAAGAGATTAAGAGATTAAAAAGCAACAATTGAGACACACGTGCACCCAAGTGAATTTGAATTGATGGACAACAGTAAATCTCTATTTTGAACAGGACATTTATCATGGAGAAGCTTTAAAAATACTTACATTAATCATACAGGAAAGAACCAAGCTGACTTAGAGGAAGGAAAAAATAAAATACAAAAGATTAGTTAGGAGATCCTTATGAGAATTCTGGTGTGCTAAAATGATAGACACTGAAAAGAAAGAAAGGAATGAACTTGGCAACAGACACCGTTATGAGCAAAATATCCCATAAGTAGTGAGAAAAAGCACAGAGAGGGTAGGATTGTGGGTGCTTTCCTTTAACAACTGTTTTTTCACCCTCTGTCTTTAAAATCAAAGGGGGCAAAGGAGGTAGGTGATGTGCTCAGAATGAAACTTTAAAAGCTTCTTTCCCCTTTTTTATGTGTAACTAACAAACATGTCTATTTCTGGTTGCTGATGAGAGAAAATTCACTCCTGTTTTCCTGGAAGCTCTATTCCCTGCTGTGAGCTGAAAGAAGATTCTACTGGACTTGAAAATGATAAAACTTTCATTGATCTGCTTTGTTTCCAACACATACATTTTGCAAAATAATCCTATAAGGCAGGAATTATTAATCTGATTTTGCAGATGAGAAAACTAAGGCTCAAATGTGTTCAAGCCATAGCTATAGTTCATGTTATAGCTGAATGAATTAGGCTTTGTTGGTTCAGTGTTGTTTCATTTTTAAGTTTTCATGTACAAGGCAGATTGTATTGTACATATGACAAGCTGTTACTTGAGTGAATCTTAACACATTTACCCTTAGAAATAATAAATGGCCTTACATTGCCAGATCTGCTCAGATCAAGTCTACTTAACTCATAATAGAGCTGAACTGTATTATAGCTCTAATAACAATGTGGCCAAGAGGTATTACATGGTTGTACCTCACTACTGAAACACAGAAGTGTTTTCATTTGAATCCATTTCTTTTTTTTTAAAGATTTTATTTATTGATTGATAGAGAGATGACAGAGGCAACACAAGCAGGGGGAGCAGCAGAGGGAGAGGGAGAAGCAGGCTTCCCGCCGAGCAGGGAGCCTGATGTGGGACTCAATCCCAGGACCCTGGGATCATGACCTGAGCTGAAGGCAGACACTTAATGACTGAGCCACCCAGGCGCCCCCAAATGAATCCATTTCTAATAAAGGACATGGATTATTTTTCTCTATTCCTATCTAGGCATCTTCCGAAGGTTAATTTGGTTAACTCTAAATTGTTCTTAAACCTTGGGTCTTCCTGTATTTAGCAATAAAAATCACTATAGAGATACATTATAGTAATATTTATGATGGAAAATATTTAAATGCTTCACAGAGAGTCAATTTTATTTTAATAGAAAGGAAATTTAAAAAGCTGCCTCAGATTTGTCGGTCTCTCTATTAAACATCTGATCCTAACTATTAAATGGTGATGTGGAGATTAAAAAATAAGTTATAATTTTTCAGAATATTAAAATGTATGATTTTGAAAGCGAGCACAAGTCTCTAGAATAGAAAGACAATAAAACAATCCATTAAAATTATCATCAGAATATCCTTTGCTCTCAAACGTATCTATTCAAAACCATCACTGTGAGCTCCAAGGCTTTGTTTTGCTTGCTCAAGAAATGAATGTGACTTTATAATCTGTATTCAACCGTGGACAGCTGCTCATTAATAAAAAGCCATTAAAGACCAAGTCAGAACAGCAGGTCTAAAATTATGCTTGAGGAAAAAACCATCCCTTTAGTGAAAAGCCAGAGAATTGGGTTAGGGAGATTGGGAAGCACTGGGCTGTGTTTGCAAGGTCTGCCTGAACTACTGGGCAGGGATGGGAGGTCAGTTGACAAAACACTACTCAGACCCACGGGGAGAACTCAGAACAACAAAACCTATAAAGGCTTTGACTTGGGAGATTAAATGGTGAGCTGGAAGCTGTTAAAAGTGAATAAATCAAGCTGGTGATTAGGGATCGGGCAGAGGCAAATCAGAGACCTTAAAGTGGGCAAAATGGTCTGAATAAAGAGCAGGTAGAATTAACTGTTAACATATGGAATACAGGCAATTCAGAAAGAAATCTTTGATATACCAAGTCTATCCCTTATGCTCCTCCCACTTGACATTTGGTGGTCCCTATCCCTACTCCACCCAAGCCTTGGTCAGAGGACTGGACTTCAAATTGCACACTCCCAAGAGGTGGTCCCCATGAAAGATCCCAAATTATTGGCACCTATGATGCCCAATTATGGAATTATTACTCAGTGACTAAAGATGATTTTAAACTATTATTTCATAGATATTTTTAAAGTAAACTAAGTTTGCAATCTTTGACAAGTTTTGTTTTTTAGTGTGTTGGAAACAAATATTCACTACTAGTTGTTTCTAGAAAAATATATCTTTTATTTCACTTGGAAATGGCAAATTTAATAAAGAAAACTGAAGAATGAAGAATGAAGAAAAATATCATAGGGATATAATAATTTGAAGCAAAGACATACCTTTGAAAACGTTTATGTCAAGATGTAGCCTATTTTGGATTATTGATTAGAGGAATCAAAAAAAATTTGGAGACTTTTAATTCTTCGAATTTAGGCATTTGAAGAGATTAAGGTTAGAACAGGTGTTTAAAAGACTGCAGAGGATTTAGTGGATTTAGGGAGGCGTAGTAACTGGGAATGATGATGCAATAGTGCGGTGGTGGTAGTAGTAGTAGTACTAGTACTACTACTACTACCCCTACTACTATCACTACTACTACTGGTAGTACTACTAGTAGTGAGCAGTTAGCAGCAGCTGCGGTAACAGCTATTAATCTGTGTATGTTTGCTGTGTGCCAGGCTCTGCCCTAAGAGCTTTGAAAGGGTTAGCCATCCTATGAAGTAGGCGCTGTTATGGTCATTTTACTGATAAGGAAGCTGAGCTTTAGAGATGAAATAATGTATCCAAAGTTACATAGAATCATTTTAGAGCAAGAGTTATAAACATTCTCTTCCTTCCCCTCTTGGGGATAAACAAGGTTAATGACTAGAAATGTGGTACAGATTTGGAGTGCACGGGTGGGTGGATACTAGAACGTAAGCGGGTAGAAGGAGGCTGGTCAGGGTGACAGGACAAGACAGTTGTAGCGAAAAAGGTAGAAAAACATGAACTGCTTTCAGCCTCTCACCATGCAACAGTGGAGCCGATAGTTTAAGAGCCCCTCGCCCATAAGCAAAGAACCTTGGCCTTTTCATAGCATACGGGATAAAAAGAAGACAAAAAGTAAGAGACTTCAAAGGGAGAACCATAGAAAAAGAAAACCTTAGTTTGGGAGAATGGCTAGCCTGCGAGGCAAGGGAGGAACAAATGCAGGGACAAGGTTAAGTTCCGTTTTTTAACCTCTAAAGGAAATTCAATCAAAGTTACTTGGAGGAGGCAAAGTCCTGTATTAAACTCAACGTTTCGCACCCCTAAAGTGGAGGAATGATTGAGATCTGGCCTCCCGACAGCCAAATCACCCTGAGAAAGCCGCAGCTCCCTCAATTTGGCAACCTAAACACTGCTTTCCCTTGGTCCCATCAGGCAGGGGGAGTCTGTGGGTCGAACGAAAAGGGGCATGGTTGGCGCGGAGGTACTCTGCACTGAAAGTAGGGCAACACGGAAGGAGCCCATGCACTGTGCAGCAGAACAGCCTGTACAGCCCGCAATGGTCATAAAACACCAACCCCTGACCGAGCCTCCGCCACAGCCACGCCGGCCGCCGCTCGGCCCGCCCCCCAGGCGCTCATTGGCTTAGCCCAGTCGCCGGACCCTCAGACTCTCGTCTATTGGACCAGACAGGATCTGGGCGGGGTGCGGAAGTGAGGGCCTGGAGACCACCGAGAACCGCCTTCCAGGAGGGCGAAGTGGGAGGGGTTGGGGGAGGGTTTCCCGAGGAGGGGGCGGCCATGGCAGCTGCGCGGAGGCAACGGCGGCTGCGACGGAGCGCGCGCCCGGCTTTGAATGAGCGGGGCTGGGACTGAACGGGCGGAGCGCGAGTTCGAAGAAGCGACCGGCAGTGCGCGTGCGCGCGCCTTGTGTGCGCGCGCGGCCCGCGGCAGCTCGGAGCCTCCGCCGGGCGGGCGGGGAGGGGGAGGGGCAGGTGAGTGTGTGCGACTCGCGCGTGCCCGCGAGGGGCTTTCCTCCCCCCTTGCCCCCCAAACCCAACCTGGTCCTTGGGTGGGGTGGGGGTCTTCTGCTTTTGCCTGGTTAGCCCTCCTCTTCGCCTCGCACTTCCCGCCCTCCCACCTTTTCGTCTCTCCACCGGGTTTCTCCCTTCCACGGCCGCCTGCCACTCTGGGGTACTGTTTCCGGGTCGGAGTGACCTCTGGGGTGAAGGAACTGCGACTGGGAGCGGGCCCCGAGCGCGCAGCCCTCACCATGCCGCGCTCACGCGTGGGAGACACGCCTGCGGGACGCGGGCGCAGGAACCATCCAGTCCCGGAATGGGCCTCCAGCAGGGAAATTTGCTCGTCCTTCCTGCCCCCCCCCTCTACAGGCCTTGTTGCTTCCCAGATTTTTCCAAAATCCAAATCCCAACCTACCCTGCACCCACCTCCAGCGGTTTAGAGCGTTTCACAGAGCGCCGAGTGCATGGCGTCGGATTGTGCAACCTGAAAATGCTCTTGTCTTTTTTTCTCATCTGTACAGTGGGTATGATTTTTTTTTCATCATCCAATTTCAGGTGGGTAATCAGAAGTTAAAGCATTTTAGTTATGGAACTCTTGCCTTTTGAGTCATTCAGGAGACCTTAACTCTGCCCTCGTAAGAGTTGGTGTCACATATTTGAGGGCCTGACTTTGAGTGGCCAGAGATGGTGCAGTCCACTTTACAACCCGCTCCCACATTGTACATTTAGTTCCCTTTCTCCTTGGTTTTTCACATAAGTGAGTTCAGGTAAATTTTATTTTTGGAGACTTGCGATAGTCCTTAATCAGCTTGAGAGTTACAAACAATTTGAGGCTGTTCTGTATTGTACTAAGTCACATGGTTTTTAAAATTTTGGTACTGAAAAATTTCAGACATATTTTTAGAATTACAGCAATTGAAGACTGACTTACTCTAGTGTGTACTAAAAGATTTTGGCGTGGCTTGTTTAACAAATTGTGATACAGTGACTACTGAAAGGGTCTCGCCCGCAGTTTACGGGGAATTTCAAGAAAGAAAGATATACTTAATCTTGCAGCTTCTAACGCAGTGTATTTTAAAATTGTAGGTGAATCTTCCTCACTTGACCTAGCTGAGTTCTCATTCCTGTTGATTTCCTAGAGAGGTCATTTCTCCAAAAGCCTTGAGAATAGGTTGCTTCATAATTCTGATCCTTTTCCTGCTGTATCTCAAGTTTTTGTATTTTCCACCTAATTTTAAAGGAAATTTTAATTTGAAAATTAGGTTATATTAGCAATTCTCAGTTTTAGAAAGTATTTTTAAGTAACCAAAGTGCAAAGTAGCCTAAGATGCCCACTTAAATTGGCTACCTAGAGAGCATTTCAAAAATCAAACTGAGGGGGCGCTTGGGTGGCTCAGTTGTTAAGCGTCTGCCTTCAGCTCCAGTCATGATCCCGGGATCCAGCCCCGCATCGGATTCCCTGCTGGGCGCGAAGCCTGCTTCTCCCTCTCCCACTCCTCCTGCATGTGTTCCTTCTCTCGCTGTGTCTCTCTGTCAAATAAATAAATAAAATCTTAAAAAAAAAAATGAGGCAATGAGTATAAAATTAAAAGGTTTATCAAACGGGATATGGTGTGAGGAGAGCCTAGGCTTTGGGGTCAGTCTTTTTAAATCGTGGGTGAGTAAATCCTCTGGAGCCTGTCAGCCACATGTGTTAAATGGGTATAGTGGAATTTACCTCCTTTGTCCTTAGAGGATTCCAGTGATATGATAGAAGATACATTGTCTAGAACTATGTTTTGAACATACTGAGTGCTCAAGGAACATTAATTTCCCTTCAACAAATAGTTGAGTACCTGCTGTGTGCTTGGCATTGGCTAAGACCTAGAAATACCAAACTGAGCAAGACTGATTGGGGCCCTGTCTCCTCAGTCCTTTGCATTGTCACTAGCCTGTGACAACTGAGCAACAAACACTGGGTTTCTCTGTATTGGGTTAGTAGTTTTTCCCATTACCCAGGGTAGCATCTGTTAGATAGTAGGTGCTAAATATATGTTTGTTGAATTGAATTGGAACATTAAGTAACTGTGGCTCCTAAAGAATATTCCAGCCTGCAAATCAATGTAATTGATAAAATAAAAAGTTCTGATAGTTAACTTGATTGCATTTTCCCCATTTCATTGCAACCGGCTGGAAAATTTAGTCTGGAAATTATAATATCATCACTGAATTGGTAAGAATGTTTATTGTTAGTGAGATGTTCTTGGCTTTTGAATTAAATAGACCTAGGTTTAAATCTGAGTCATTGGTTGTAGGAGCATGGAAACGTGTGCTTACTCTCTGTGCTTCAGTTCTATGAAATGAGAGCAGTAGTATCTATGTCATAAGATGGTTTTATGGGTTAAGAGACATAATTTTTAGATCATGCTTAGCATATAGGAGTTGGTCAACGAATATTAGATCCTTTTGATAATTACAAAAGCAGATTTTCTGAAGAATGAGGATATTCTTAATTGCTACGAAGAGAATTCTATTCTCTTGTCAATAATAGTCCCGTTTTCTGTTTTTCTGTTGGACAAAATTTTAAATTTTGTTTCCGGTTACCATTGAAGTCATTCAAGTTGACAAATACTGAACAATGACATACAATAATATTTTTGGCAAGGTGGTGACAGTGGTTACCAAGGCTCTATATGAAATTTATTTTCAACTCTGCATTCATGTATGTATCCTGAGACCCACTCCTCTCCCCAGTCCTTAAATATTAAATGTCTTCTCCCTTCAAAACTTACTGATTATTTCCTCAGTTCTGTCCCCTTTCCCCCCAAGTGCCACATTCCATACAATCTCTTTTCTAGCTATCTTATTTTGTTTATAATTTTTATAAAAATTTAGCCTGAATTTTCATATAGGGAAGTTTGCCTTCTTTTGGTTAAGAGTTTTATTCTTGACAAATCAGCTTTAAAATGGAACTTTTATTCATCATCTTAACTGTCAGGTCGTTCTAGTCATAATGAAGTAGTTAAACCTTTCAGGTGTTACTTTGCAACGGGTAACTGGAGGTACGAGATAAACAAGATCCTCTGGGGAAGGATTGTACGGGGCAGATAAGGTATATAGAAATAACTATAGTACGAAGTAGAGAATGTAAGTGTGGTAAGAGAAAAATACTGGAATTAAGAAGACTTTATAATAGGGGCACAGGCACCTGGGTGACTTAGTCGATTAAGCGTCTGACTCTTAGTTTCGGCTCAGGTCAAGATCTCATGCATGGGTTCTAGGATCAAGCCCTGCACAGGGCTCTGTGGTCAGTGGGGGCTCTGCTTGAAGATTCTCTCCCTCTGCCCCTCCCCACACTCATTCTCTCTCTCTTTCTCAAATAAATCAATCTTAAAAAAAAAGGTTTTATAATACCCCAGCAAGAAGTAATAAAGGCTTATGCTAGGAAGATTGCAGTGGAAATAGGGAAGACTATAGGCAGTATTAGGAAATGGAGTAAGGCCTTTGGGCAGTTTGGACATACAGGGCTAAGAGAAAGGAGAAGTCAAAATTGTTGCATTTTTTTAAACCTAGTAAACCACTAATTGGTTTCTTTTTTTTTTGTCAGAAGTATTTAAGTTACTTGAATAGTGAAATTCTTAAAATTTTTTTGGTTCATACTCTTAGAGTCACTGTTCTTTCCATCCTTGCAATTAGTATGTCAACTCCAAATATAGGCATTCAGTAAATCATTGAGCTCATGTGGAGATACAACCTCAATGTATGGGCATTGCTAAGGGAGCCTTTTGGAACTTTTGTTACTGTGAAGAGTCTGCTTGGCCTTTCTACATTTGTAATTCTAGAAATAAAAAGAGCTAGCTGTGTGTTTTGCCCTTCTTTGAAGGGAATGGCAGTAGTGGCTCTACAGAATAATTAGGATCAGGTATCACAAGAGTTAACTGTGTTTCCTTGCTTTCTGTTTTTGTTTTGTTTTTATATTTTTGTTTTGAACTTTTATATAAGGCATAACCTACAAATAGTATATGTAGTATACTGGTGTTGCTATTACTCAGACTGAAGCATAGAACTATATGCCTATAGATATAGGCATAAAGTTGTTTGTAATACTTTCTCAATACCCTTTTAATATCTGCAGACTCTGGTAATGTCACCTCTTATTTATGATATTGGCATAATTCTGTTATTAGGGACTTACATATTTTGGATTATTATGTGCTTTTGATTTACTGACCCTTTTATCATTATGAAAGGACCATTTTTATGCCTGCTAATAATATTTTCTCTGAAATCTATTCTTTGACATTGAAATAGTCACTTCAACTTCTTTTTGATTAGTGTTAGCATGGTGTATTTTCCCTATTCTTGTCCCATCTGTTTTTTGTTCCCCTTTACCTTGTTTTCTGTTCTCCCCTGCTTTTTTCTGTTTTTTTTTTTTTTTTTTTTTACCTTTTTTTCTGTTCTCCCCTGTTTTTTTCTGTTTTTTTTTTTTTTTTTGGCTCCCTTTTCTGTTGACTATATTTTGTCTCCTTTGTAGTCTTATTAGTTTAACTGGAACTTGCTCCTTAGAGAATATGATTTAATTGATTTACTGGGGTTAGACCCAGGTATCATTTCTTTAAAGGATCCCCAGATATGTGAACCACTGGACTAGATGATCTCTATTGTTACTTTCAAGTTAGTAGCTATGTGACTTTGGGCAAGTTATTTGACCTCTCTTAATTTAATTTCCTCATCTCTAAAATGAGCATAATAAAATGTATCTATCTAAAAGTTAAAGATGTTTAAAAATATTTTGAATTGTACTATTATGTTCATGTGGTTCAAACTTCAAAAGGTACAAAAGATTCAATATATACTATTTTATGCTTTTTTGATTTTTTAGTAGAAAATAATCCATAAATAGGTAATTGAAATTCAGTTAAAAAATATTCTGAGAATATTTCAAAAAGGCTTTTTTCCTCTCATCTATTGAAAACTTAAAAATCTTGTTTCTTGGGGGCACCTGGGTGGCTTAGTCATTAAGCATCTGCCTTCGGCTCAGGTCATGGTCCCAGGGTCCTGGGATCGAGCACTGCATTGGGCTCCCTGCTCCATGGGAAGCCTGCTTCTCCCTCTCCCACTCCCCCTGCTTGTGTTCCCTCTCTCTCTGTGTCTCTCTCTGTCAAATAAATAAATAAAATCTTAAAAAAAAATCTTGTTTCTTGAATTGTCGGTATAATTTACATTTTAATTTTAAAATTTACTGTGTATGGGGCGCCTGGGTGACTCAGTTGGTTGAGTGCCTGACTCTTGATTTTGGCTCAGGTAGTGATGTCAGGGTTGTGAGATCAAGCCTTGCATTGGGCTCCATGCATAGCACAGAGTCTGCTTGAGATTCTTTCTCTCCCTCTGCCTCTCCCTGCCCCCTTGTCGCATGTGCTCTCGCTCTCTCAAATAAACAAAAGCCTTAAAATAAAATAAAATAAAATTTACTGTGTTATATTTGTGGTTTCTGAAGAAAAGTAAAAAATGTCTGATTTTCAGAGCTCATAATAGGACCTTTCAGCTTGACTTGAGAATGGGAATATAGCTTATGAAATCAGCTAAGTGCATTTATTTTTATGCTTTTTCCACAGGTTTTGATTTCGACCATGGCTATCACACAGTTTCGGTTATTTAAAGTTTGCACTTGCCTCGCTACAGTATTCTCATTTCTAAAGAGATTAATATGCAGGTAAACAAATTTTATGTTCAAATTGACTTGTTCATTCTTCTTGCTGGTTTTGGATGCCTTCATAATTACAAAAAGGCAGGGCAGACTATACTTAAGCTAAATAACTTGATTATAGTATTCATTCGTTACTGTCTGGTATTTTTTTTATTATTTTCTGTACTTCAGATCTAGAAAGTAAGTTTTACTTCTTTTCATTCTTTCAAATTCTTACATCTTTAATTAAAATCATATTCTTATTCCTATAGAATTTCAGAAAAAAGCAGACCAATTTTCATTGTAATAAGACAGTTTTTATGTACATAATTATTTCATTAACAGAATGTTTTAAGATGGTTAGGTGGAATTAGGAATAAGTATTTCTTTATATACTATAATATGAATGTTGTTTTTGTATTTAAAAAAAAACTTAAACGGAAAAACCCCACACAAAATAGATTTTTGTTTTTGGTCTCTTAAATAATATTCCAGAATGTGGAATGTGGACTGTTTAGTCCTAGTCAGATAAGTCATTCTACTTCAGTAAGTCATCCAAAGATTGGAATTCCTTCTATTTTGTCACACAGATATACCGTAGAGCTATAGTTCTGTAGTTCTATACTGTACCCTAGAACTATGTGCAGAGGCACTTCAGGGCTTCACATTAAACTCACAGGGGTATCATCAGGATTTTTTTTAATTTCTAGCAAAACACAGTGAATGGGATAGTCAATATCTGTTAAACGCTGGACAAACTACTAGCTCAAGGTAGTTCACATTTGTAACATTAGATAGTGCAGCATTACTTTTGCAGATATTCTCGAATGTTTGAGATAAGTTTTTGTTTACTTGTATTTTTAGTGACCTGTCTTTGCAAAGTTAAGATTTAGGTTGTAACTAAAGCAAGTACTGAACCTAAAATTAATATGGAACAGAAAATGAGGACGGTAGTATCCAATCTGATTTCGAGTTTTGAGAAGCTGTGCAGTATCCAGTAGCCCCACACATATGTTCCATTAGTGATTGTGGTTCTTTAAGAATGAAATCAAAATACAATTTTTCTTTATATGTAGTATTTTTGCAAATGGCTGCTGTGTAGTTAGGACATAAATAAGTATTAAATTGTTTGGGTCTAACAACGTAATCAATGGAACTGTTAGGTATTTGTTTTGGCCAGGAGTACTGTGAAAAAAAAAAAGTACTGACACACAGAGGAGGGTATAATAAAAGAGGAAGTAGAAGGCTGTCAGCTCTTTTTTTTAGCGGACTTGATTTAGAAGTTGCACACAACACTTCTATTCTCAAGCTTACTGTCTAGAGCTTAAACATATGCTAAGGATCATATGACCACCTAGCTTCAAAGGAGGCCAGGAAATATATTCTCTGGCTAAGTGGCCATTTATAACTATTAAAACTCTATCTCTCATTCTCTCTCTCTTAAATAAATAAAATCTTAAAAAAAAAACCCTCTGAGGATTAAGGACATTTATTGTTAGAAGTAGAGTGATTTGGGATTTTTTAAAAAATAGGTCCATAGTATGGCAAAGGAAATGAGTGGATGAAATAGAGTGCAGATGATCACTGGAGGAAGAAAGGTCAAGAAAGAAATGGAAAATTTTGGTGACTATAGAACTTACCCAGGAAGAAGACCGGGTTTGGGAAGTAGGGAAAATAGTGAACTAAGTGCTCAGATCATCAGAGCGTGAGGAGGAATGGCCAGAAATTCACCAAGTAAAGTAGGGTAAGACTAGGTATTAATTCCCAGAAGGTTAACAGCAGATAAATTATGGGTGTTTTTCTCTTTACATATGTATTTTCTAAAACTAAAATACTTTTAGTAAAAGAATGCATTTGATTTAAAAAATATTAAGGACAGTTGTTGCCACTATAAATTTCACAATAATTTATTTAGGATTGATTGTATGTTCACTTTTAAAGAAAACTGACTTGTTAGAATAAGCTTTTCTTACGTGTCAGAAGGAACCTAGATCCTGTGTTCTAAAAGTAGCAGGTCCACATCATAAATTTTGTAGTAGACTGTGTTTTCTATTTATCCTTTAAACAAAATATGATTTCTAATCTTGTAAAAATACTAACTTTACCAGTTTGCTCTAAGTAGATGTTGTATAGATTATTTGAAATGAAGTAAGTGATTAATATTTATAATAGCTACCCTTTTTTTTTTTTTAGTATATACTGGGCACTTAGTGTCTAGCTGCTTTAAATATGTTATTTAGTTAAATCTTTATAACAAACCTACAAAAGTAGGTTTGAATACCTACATTTTGCAAATGAGGATATTGAAGCTGAGAGGCCTGTTGATTCTAACTAGACTCATAATTAATAGAAGTAACATTTAAAACTATGGTTTACATAGTTTCCATAGCCCATGCTTTTAGCAATTGAGTTATGATACCTATTTTGTTTAATATAGTGCTTCTCCTACTAATCCTTATCAATTACAGTTTAGTTCAACCCAGTGATTTTCAGACTTTTAATAGTTTGATAGGTAATCTTACCAAAAAACCAAATCAGTAAAACAAACAAAAGCCAAGCCATCCTGGTTAAAACGGCATAGGTGGGGGCGCCTGGGTGGCTCAGTTGGCTGAGCATCCAACTCTTGGTTTGTCTCAGGTCATGACCTCATGGGTCATGGGACCAAGCTCCATGGGGAGTCTGCTTGAAGATTCTCCCCCTCTACTCCTCCCCCTGCTGTTGTGCATGGGTGTGTTCTGTCTCTCTCTCTCTCAAATAATCTTAAAAAAAAACCCAAAAAACAAACAAAAAAAACCACACACACACACAAAAAGGGATAGGTGTCCCAGATCTTCACCAACAGAGCGTTTGAAGGAATATGGTTTGAAATTACTTTGCATTTTTGTTTTTGTTTTTGTCTTTATATGCCTCCTGAGTTTATCTATAATTGTGAGTCCTAAGCCAAAAGCAGTTTTGTTGTCCTGTCCAAGATTTTAAACACATTTAAAAGATACTTGATGCATGCCTTTTCTTTTCATATTTTGATGAGCAACTCTTAATTATTAAAAATAAATAATTGTAAAATTATACCTTTTTTTTTTTAAAGATTTCATTTATTTGACAGCGAGAGAAGGAACACAAGCAGGGCGAGTGGGAAAGGGAGAAGCAGGCTTCCCACTGAGCAGGGAGCCTGATGTGGGGCTCGATCCCAGGACCCTGGGATCTTGACCTGAGCCGAAGGCAGACGTTTAATGACTGAGCTGCCCCAGCGCCCCATAAAAGACCTTTTTTATAAGCTTCCAGTTACTGTCCATAGTGCTTTTACCCAGGCTTGTTTTGGTAATTATTGAAATAAGCTATTTCATTTTTATTTTAGATCTGGCAGAGGACGGAAATTAAGTGGAGACCAGATAACTTTGCCAACTACAGTTGATTATTCATCAGTTCCTAAACAGGTAATTTTTGTTTAAGTTTGAATAAGTGCTCCAGAACCATGGTTTTCAAACTGGACTACAGACCATTAATTAGTATGTCAGGAAGTTAATTTGGTAGTCAGGTCAGGCTTTTGTTGTTGTTATATTTTTTAATTCTAAAATTTTTATTTGGTTCTTAACAGTATTTTCTGTTACTTTGCTGAAATTTTCTATTTTATTTTTCCATAGATTTCAAGAGTGTTTGCTTTTGCTTGTTAAAGTATTTTTATAACCATTTTAAGTCTTAGATAATTATAACATTTGTGTTATCATTCCATGCAAGTTGAAATTTACTGATTGTTTACTGAATAATTTTGGGTTGTTTCATGGACATTTTGAATATTATATTTGAGACTCTGTCTTATATAAATCCTATCAAGAATGTTTTTTGTTTTTTTTGTTTTTTTCAATCAGGCAATCAGCCCTGGTTAGGCTTAGGATGCAAGTTTCAATATTCTTTCTGTGGACTGTAGTTCTAAATGTCAGTTCATGTTTTAAAGCTCTTGCTTTTGTTTTGTTTTTTGTTTTTTAATGGATAGAACCAATTGTCTAACTAATAGTAAAAGTAAGTGTTTTTTTAAACTTTTGATCTAGTTTTGGTATGTTTTATAAAATTTTTATTTTCCTGTTGGTCAAAAAGTTTGAAAACCAATGTTTTAGAAAGCCCGTTTTTCTAATAAATGATGAATGAGATGTTAAATTACCCCTTTGTGGCTGACACTGTTGATGGATTCAATGAAGACCGATGTTGAAGAGTGGACTTCCTGGGACGAAGACGCCCCCACAAGTGTAAAGATTGAAGGAGGCAGTGGGAATGTAGCAACACAACAAAATGCTTTGGAACAACTGGAACCTGACTATTTTAAGGACATGACACCAACTATAAGGAAAACTCAGAAAGTATGTAAAAGATTGGTTTGGGAGGTTAAATAATTAAACTGTTTTTCAGATTCCTATATTTAAATCAGACAGTATAATTAATATTTGTCAGCCTATTTCTAATGATCAATTTGGTGTGTTTTCTAACATATTAAACAAGCTTATATATTCAAGTGACCTAGACATAGATCTAGTAAGTTGCACCCCCAAGTCTTTTAAAGTTATATTTGCATTTGCTGAAATCCAGCAGTAGACCAGATTCTAGACTGCAGTCTCTGCTATAGAGACTAAGCTGATTAAGATGAAGTTCTGACCTTAAAAGAGTTCACAGTTTAGTGATGACTACAGACTGATAGGTGTAGTTTCCATTGTTTGTAACCATTAATAAAACTGATGTAGGACTCTCAGAATAATTGTTGTGGGCTTATGTTAGTCGTCCACACTTTGCTTAATCCCTTTTGAATTGGATATGGAAGATCACTTAAAGGTGGAGGGAATTATTGGGAAAAGAACAGTAGCTAAATATTTTCCTTTCTTTTTATCAAAAATAGTACATGTACTTTTTAAAAAAAAATTTAAATCAAAGAATATAGAAGAGCTTATAATGAAAAGCAACAGACTTCTGCCTTATCATTCCCCATAGCCAGTTCGACTTCTCAGAAGCAACCACTGATAACTTTCCCTGTTTGGGCTTATACTATTGTTGTTTTTTTCAAATCATATCTGTATATAATATGCTTATGTTACTGTGCCTTGATTTACTAATCACAGACATTGTCCATTGACTTTATACTATGGTGGATGAGGGTTTATTTCATACTACCCTCACTGCTCTTCCCCCTCTTCCAAATATTATGATGCTGTTATTCCAGTCTACCTCACTAGTCACTCTGCTTTTTTTTCTAAAAAAAAAAAAAAAACAAAAAAACATGCTTAGAGTTCCATTTCTTGTTCAGGCATGCATAGAAAATATTTCTTAAAAACACACTTTATAAAATGAGGACATTATTTATTCCACCCTTTCCTAATAGGGCTTCTCACCCTCTTCTACCTCCCAACCATTTTCAGCTATAAATTTATTTTTACAATTTCAAGGCTGATAACATTTACATTCTGTAATCAGTTTTGTTTTTGTTAAGTTGTCCAAATGTCTCCGTGCTGAACTCAAACTCAAGGAGTTTGCATGTCTTAGTAGATGAATACCTTATATTTTGGAAGTATATTGCTGCTCTTAAGAGGAACCTAGAATATTTCAATAGTACCTTAATAAACTAGTTAGACTGAAAATGTTTTTAAGCTACAAAGCTAACACTCCTGCCTTGAAAGAGCTAATGCATTCATAGATGACCATATGAAGAGAGATGGTTATACTTTAGTAGAATGTGACACATGTTCTTATTTAATACGGTGACTAAAAGTGCCAACTTATATTTTGTGGGTCTCAAGAGAGAAGAGGAAAATTTGTTGTTTTAGGAAAAGTAAAATGGGGGGCGCCTGAGTGGCTCAGTTGGTTAAGCGACTGCCTTCGGCTCAGGTCATGATCCTGGAGTCCCGGGATCGAGTCCCGCATCAGGCTCCCTGCTTAGCAGGGAGTCTGCTTCTCCCTCTGACCCTCCCCCCTCTCATGCTCTCTCTATCTCATTCTCTCTCTCAAATAAATAAAATAAAATCTTTACAAAAAAAAGAATAAGTAAAATGGAATTTTTCTTAGTATGTAAGTGATTTGTGTGACAATTGCCTAGGAATTTTGATAGTCTTTACAGACTTAAAAAAAAACCTTTACATTATAAATTTTAAAAGAAGAAAGGACATATTTGAAATAATTACAGAATACTTTGGTCACTTAATTAGCTTGTCAGTTTTTATAGATGCATAAAATATTCCCATAATTCTGTTTCAATTTTTCAGATCATTATTAAGAAGAGAGAACCATTAAATTTTGGCATCCCAGATGGTAGCACGGGTTTCTCTAGTAGATTAGCCGCTACACAGGATATGCCTTTTATTCATCAATCTGTAAGTATGTTAATAATATATAGGCAAGGGTTTTTGTTTTCTTGAAAAAAATCAAAATGAATTGAACATAATATTTGTATTTCTGTGCTTCAAAACAGGCTTAGCAGATGAGAGACGTTAATCTGGAGTTTTGCAGTCTTTTCCTTTTATGAGATTGTAAATTACATCAGCTACTAAGATCAGTGTCCCAATGTACACATAAAAGACAAATACAATATGTACTTACAAAATGTGACCTTTAGGGGCGCCTGGGTGGCTCAGTTGGTTGAGTGTCCAACTCTTGATGTCGGCTCAGGTCATGATCTCAGGGTTGTGAGATTGAGACCTGCCTTGGGCTCTGTGCCTAGCACAGAGCCTGCTGAAGATTCTCTCTCTCCCTCTCTCTCTCTCTGCCCCTCCCCTTTTCACACACGTGTGCACACATTCGTGCTTTCTCACTTTCCTTCTCTAAAAAAAAGTTTTAAAAAAATGTGACCTTTAAAGAGATTACCACTGAAATTTAAACTTAAAAGCGGGTTATTTTTAAGTGAGTCATGAATTGTTTCCCTAGTAGAGTATACTTACATTTAAAGTATAATTTGACTTGTAGCAGGTTTGACTTAAATGCATCACTTTGAAGGACAAAAAGTAGTGAGGAAAGTATATAACTGTGGTTCTTAGCCTTGAAAGTATCTGAGAATCAGCTTTGAATTTTCTTAAAAACACCAATGTCCAGGGGTACGTGGGTGGCTCAGTTGGTTGAGTGTCTGCCTTTGGCTCAGGTAATGATCTCAGGGTCCTGGGATGGAGCCCCGCATTGGGCTCCCTGCTTGGTGGGGAATCTGCTTCTCCCCACTATTCGTGCTCTCTCTCTCTCAAATAAATAAATAAATAAATAAATAAAATCTTTTAAAAAAAATTTTCAGTCTGACGTTCTAGGTAGTCATCATTATCATCAAAGAACTCTCCATAACTTAAAAAAAAAAAAATGTCCAGACTTCTCCCCAGATCTAAGCTTAAGCATGTTTTGATTGACTAATTATTGATTAGTAATTATTGACCAATTTATTATGTTATTATTATATAACAACCCCACATTTAGTGGCTTAAAACAGTAAACATTCTTTATCTCATATAGTGTCTATGGATTGGGAATCCAGGAGTGACTCAACTGGGTGGTTCTCGCTCAGGGTTTCTGAGTTTCCAGGCAAATCATTAGTTGGGGTTGTAGTCATCTGAAGGCTTCACTGGAATTGGAGGATTCATTTCAAAGGGGCTCATTTTACATGCCTGGCAAATTAATGCTGGTTGGTTGCGTGAAACCTCAGTTCCTTGCCATGGACCTCTCCATAGGGCTGCTTGAGTTTCCATACAGCATAACCGTTGACAGTCCCAGAACAAGCAATCCCCGAGAAAGAGAAGGCAGGCAGAGGTGAAGCCACAATGCTTGTTTATGACTTAGTCTTAAGTCACTGTCACCTCCACATTATTTTATTCATTGGATGTTAGTCCCTAAATCTAGCCCACATGCAGGGGGAGAGGAATTAAGCTCTACCTCTGAAGGAAGAGTGCCAAAGAATTTGCAGACATAGTTTTAAACCACCACATCTGCCTATCTTATTTGTTTGTTGAAACTGCGTGGGTGCTTCAGAGGCCCCGTCTCTCTAGGGGACCCATGTTTATGTATGTTTTTAATTCATTGGTCAGAAATTATTCCTACTAATGTGAGACAGGGTGCTTGGTGCTAGTACTATAGTGGAAAGTAAGAGTCCTTCCTTCAAAAGAATGCATTCTAGTAGGGAAGGTGTAGTATTAAATAAATGATTGCACATAAATAATGCAAATTTTGATAACTCCTATGCGTTTACTTTTTTATTTTTATTTTATTTATTTATTTGAGAGAGACAGAAAGAGCATGAGTGGAGAGAGGGAAAAGCAGACTCCCTGCTGAGCAGGGAGTCTACTCTGTGGCTCAATCCCAGGACCCTGAGATGACTTGAGCCAAAGGCAGACGCTTAACCATCTGAGCCACCCAGGTGCCCCTACTCCTGTGCATTTACATCATGCTATGAGAGCACAGTAGCACCATAGATATTTCTCTAAAGTAGCACAGCATGTTTAATTTTTTATTTTATATTTCTAAATTTTATACTTTATTCACATGTGTTTGATCCATATTGGTAAAGTGGTTCAGACTTATCCAGTGAATTTGCAAATGTTTGCCACTTGTAATTATAAGTTTTTATAACACTAATATAGCTCATTATGATGTTGTAAATATATAACTCCTCACAGAGTTGGAAAGGGTAAATAGGGTAGATGGAGAATGTCTCCAATGCTATTTCCACGTATTTTCCTCCCAGCAGACGAAATAAGGGGGCATTGTTTAGGAGAGAATGGTAAATCTACTGCACTTTGTTCTCCACTCCAAAAATATCTTACCGTCCATTCTACCAATTAGGTTCTTCTTTTAAATTCCACATTCTATTTTTTTTTTCTGGAGTTTAATCATTTGTATTGTTGTGATAGCTTTTTATACTAGGGATATTAACTTTTTTCTGTCATCTTACAATTTTTTGGTTTGTTGTTGCCTTTATAATTTGGTTTAGATGTTTTTGATGGGCAGATATGTTTAGGGTTTTGTTTTGTTTTTTTTTTAAAGTAGGCTCCATGCCCTGTGTGGAGCCCAGTGCGGGGCTTAAACTCACAACCCTGAGATCAAGACCTGAGCTGAGATTAAGAGTTGGACACTTCACCAACTGAGCCACTCAGGTGCCCTATGTTTAGTTTTTATGTAGCAACTCTATCCATCTTATCCTTTAAAACCTTTTAACTTGGAAGGCCATCTCTACTAAAGGATCAGATATCACTCTCTTCTTGTGGTTTTAGTTCACTTTTTTTATGTCTAAATGTTTTATATACAGAAAGTCAAACACCTCAGTGGAAAAATGGATACACTTACAAATAAGAAATAGACATAGCCTGATAACATGAAGAAAAGTTTGATCTTATTAGTTCTCAAAGAAATTGAAAGTAAAATAACAAGACACCATTATCAAATCTTAACCAATTAGCAAAGATGAAAGAAGGCTATTACCAGTATTGACAAAGGTACAGGGGAACAAGACTTCCACCTGTTGCTATCAGTAGGGTAAGTTGGGATAGTTTTTCAAGAGGGTCATTTGTATTTTGGTTCAGTGGCTTGAAAAAAAATTCATTTGATGTAGGTATTTTACTTTTAGAGACTTACATTAAACAGATAATCAGAAATACACTAAAAAGTTTTAACAGAGGATGGTATTATGTTTATGGTTAGGCGGAGAAAAACCGCACATTTTATTTCAATTTTAAGTGTAAGTGTTCAAAAGAAAGTGTAGTAAATCTGTTCATAGATTGGTGCCAGTTATTTTATGCTCATAGTCACTTCCGCACCTAACTAAACATTCCAGAATAAGCATTTTTATTGGTTTGTGGAAGAAAAAGTGGACTTTCAGAGGTCCAGCCTGGGGAATATTGGAAAGTGTAATGGAAGAAATAGTGGAAGGCCAGCCTACTGAGAGCAGGTAAGTAGGACAGGCAACAAAAGCACAATGGGGAAGTACTCGGGGAAAGAGCAAATTTTGCCCGATTTGTTGTTTTTGCCTTGGACCCACCTAGTAAGAACCACTGAAAAATCTATAAATTACTTATGCTTAAATGAAAATGGCTGTGCCAATTTGGAAACTTCGGGTCCTCCGATTCATCTCAGCACAGAGTAGTTAGGCATCTCTAATTCCATCCCCAGTCAGTCTCTTCTCTTGCCCCCACCCTGTCCTTTCACTAAAAAGAGAGAAACAGAAAGAAGAAATGTTCTATTCTTGTCCATTCCAACTTAAAGTAGGCAGAAAAAAAAAAAAAGAATCAGTATAAAACATAAAAGCTGGACCTGCCCAGGACCGTTGAGTACTGAAAGTCATGCATCACAAGAAACAGCTCCGTTCCAGGCAGACCAGGGGCCTGGTCACCTGGGCCTTACAGAGGACGTGAAGAAGGCACAGGGGAGTGACAGGGTCTGTGTCATGTTATAAAAGATACTCTTTTTGACTGCTAAGTGGAGAAAGAGGAGCTCTTTACTATCATAATTTTGTTTTGTACTTTGTTGTAGCCTGAATTAGGTGACTTAGATACCTGGCAGGAAAATACCAACGCGTGGGAAGAAGAAGAAGATGCGGCCTGGCAAGCAGAAGAAGTTCTGAGGTATTTTAGTTATACTTACGTTATAGCTTGAGTAGAAGAACTCAATTTGTTCATGTTGCATTTGAGGTCAAGAAAGCTGAAAAGTTGTGTTTTTCTTCATTCTTTCTCACTTGAGCTTAGGTAATATAGGATTTTTAAATTTCAGACTGCATATACTATTTATATGATTAAAACCTCACAGAAACCTAGAATTTAAAGCATTATAGGAACAAAAGAGTAATAATGTTATTAATGGCAAATTAGATCTTCTATATATATATACAACATATTATACTATTTGCTTTGTATTCCATTCGCTGTAAAACATAGTTATCTCTTGAAACGTGAGCCACCATTATATATTCCTCCAGGTCAGAAATTATACCTTTATTTTTGTTTCCCCATGGTCTAGAATACTGCCCAGCACTGCACATTCGGATGGAAATAACTTATATAGCACTCTACATTTGTATATATAGCTCAGTTGATGTACTCAACTGATGCCCTGTGAGGTAAATAATTATGTCAGGTACTATCCATTCTACAGAGAAGAAAATACTATTCCTGAGGTCTTCAAGTTTGTGTTTTTTGGTGTTACATTCTTATTTCTTTGTTTTTGTGAGCAAATAAACTTAATTCTTGCTACTGCTGCATTAGGTCAAAGAGTAAACAGAATATTTACCCTAAAAAAGTTTGTGACCATCATCACTGGTGAAAAGCTCAGATATTTAAATGTATCTAAATTATTTTTTTATTTTTAAAGATGATATAGTAAAACACAGTGATGTAAGGTTTTTATCTTAAAAGATTGTTTTTATAATAGGGATAGAAAATAAATAACAAAACAACTGATTTCATTTTTGTGTTTTCCCTTCCTGTCTTCGTCAGTTAACTACAGTTACCTTAAAGAGCCAGCAGAGGGTGCGGTTGAGTTATGGCTGACTTTGGTCTGGTCCTTCCTATTTTCAGCTTTTTTTTTAAACAGGGATGTATCACTTTTTAAAAGTCAGTAAAGTTGTGAGAATTTTAAATATTTAGTTTTTATTTAATTATTATTCACTGTAAAAGGACTTTTTAAAATTGTAAATGGCAACATTTATTTTGCATGGATCATCAAAAAAAGATAAGTTATCTATTTCTTTTACTCTTTTTTGGATACATCATAGATATAGAAGTCCAAGTGTTTTAGAACATTTTCAGGGGTTCTAGTGCTTTTCAGTGTCATTAGCCACAGGATAAAGGAGAGGGGCCTGTTCATTCTGAATCCAGTAATCTTAACAACAGCACTATAGAGTTGATGAGTTCACAAGTATCTTAATACCCACTGTACCTTTTTTCCACGCTACCCTCTTGCACTCTGAACAAAACAAAACAAAACAAAAACAAAAAACAAAACCCTAAACCTAGTGTTTTATGTTATATGACAGCTTAGGAGAGGGAACCTATCAGTTGGTAATACGCATGCTTCCTGCTACCATTTGCATAAATTAAAGTCAAAGACACTTGGGCGACTCCTGCGCTGTTACTGCCCCCGGAAGAACACTGCGAAGTTTTGAAGTGTGGTCACGCTGTGTGTCCTCTCAGTCTGTTTTCCATTGCCACTTTAATACTGCCAGTACAGTAATCAGTAAAGTTAAGGAAGGAGATTCTGGTACTTCAGTAATTCCAGGTGTGTATCTGGAGAGGGAAAATAGATTTTGTCTGCATTCATCTCTAAATTGCCTCATTTTCCAGGAACATTAACTGTTGATGTTTATGCTTTAACTAATAACCTGGTGAAAGCTTGATGATCTTGTTTGTTTGTAAGCTAGCCAGCTCTTTATAATTCTTTTCCAGCTCCCTTTTTGCCATGGGCATTTTGACTTTTTTAGGGGGCACATTATCAGTTTTGCTAGGAAGTGATCAGAGCTAGTGAAAAGTAGATTTCTGTTAAACTGTTCTTCTGAAACTTTAGTTAATTGATGGTGAAGGTCAAAATATTGCCTAAAATAAGTGTCTCTACTTTCTTGAATTTTGGTCATACACAACTCTGCTCACTCCCACTTATAAATATGTTGAGAATGGTATATATGTTTCACTTGCCAGAGTCCCCTTTGAGCTATCCCAAACATAGGTAATCCACACTGGATTCTTCTGTTTTATAACCTCCTGTTGCCCATCCCATGTGTAACCGTGACCTACAGCTTCCTCCCTCAGCCTTGCGTGCTTCACTATTTTCTCGTGCCTTAAACCTTAGATCCGGGACCAGCTTCTGTTCTTTGTCCTATCTCGTCACCCCCCTGCTACTTCCACTCTCCACACAAGTGAATCAGTAACAAAAGAGAGGCCAGTGGTTCTAGCTCAGTGGAGTCAAGGAGGGGCCAGGGAGGAGGGAAGTATCTCATAATGTATAATCAGCAAGTACCCACTATTCTGCCCCTTCCTCAGTAGAGCTGGCCAAATGCTAGTCCTTAAATAGATTTCTAGCTTCCAGTTGGAAGGCTTGTGTTTCATTTGTTTTCTTTGTGCATTGTGTTCTGCACATCTGTGTTCTTGACTTCCTTCAGCAGAGTGTTTCTAACTATTACAATAACAGGAGATTTAGTCCTCAACATCAGGCTTTTCAGAATGGTATCAAAAAGAAGGTGTGGTCCAATGGACGTAGTGTTTTAGCGAAAATAATTTGAAGAAGAGGGATTAGAAGTTGTGGGTTCTTCTCCTTGTACTTAATCTTACGACTTTGGGTAAGTCACTTAGCCTCTGCCTCATTTTACTTATTTGTAACATAGAGACAACACTCTTTTATTTTGCAAGTTGTGTTCGGAGGATTAAAAGAAACACTGTTTTTGAAAATCTTTGAAATTTTCAAAGCAGTGAGAAGAAAGATTTTTCGAACTTACATTTGATGTTGGTAAAAAGGCACCGCTATTTCTTTCTGGAATTTATTCGCCATTTTACCTTTGTGGTATTTTCTAAAAGTAAAAATAGGAATATGTTCCTTTTCAGGCAGCAGAAGATAGCAGACAGAGAAAAGAGAGCAGTAGAACAACAAAGGAAGAAAATGGAGAAGGAGGCACAGCGGCTAATGAAAAAGGAACAGAACAAAATTGGCGTGAAGCTTTCATAATGGATGTCCGTCCCGTGTCATAGTGCCAGTAAGAGAGAGACGAGCTCCACGACTCAAGCAACATTTATATGGATTTAAGAATATTTTCAGAATACAAACACATTGCTTGATTTTAATGCATTCATCAGACCATCTAGGAGACCAGGATTCTCTCAAAGTACCTTGAGCTCTTAGTGACTGAGACTCAAAAACAAAAAAAGACCTACGAGGCAATATTTTTTTTCAACATGCTCCAAGTGTAAGACAATTGTTTGCTGTAAAAAATTATTACAAATGGAATATACCAGTACCTCTTCTAGCTAGTGTTTCTAGCTAAATAAATGGGTGTAAATAATTTTATGGTGGGAAAGAACTCTGCTCTCTATAATGCTTTCCTTCATTGTGCATAATGATAAAATAAATAATTTTAAATATTCCTTTGTTTCCATGATTATCTGACCTAACTCAGACAAACTGCAGGGCTTTTAACCTCTTTATTTTTGTTGTCAGAAGCTGGTATTGGCATACATTTCTTCTAGTTTGAACTGGTAATGTTTATGTTTAATATGACGTTAAGGAATTTGATGACTTTGGTTTTCAAGAAAATGACATTAAATGCAATAATTTTATTTATCATAAAGATTTTATACATCATTGTTTTCTTTTAGATGGTGTTGTAATGGTATATATATTTGTAATTTATACTGCATGTATAAACATTGAAAGTCAGCAAAAATGACAAATTTGTTTTGCATTATTTTAACTTGTGAATTTTAAAAACTAGTATTAGTAATTGTTTTCCTTTTGTTGTAGATTTTAAGATGTTACAGTGTTTTCAAAGTACCTTAGTCCCTCCGCCACAAAAGCCATTAATTTACAAACGCAGAAAGCCTTCGGTTCTAATATTTCAAAGCTTTCAGATGATTTCTGTATCAACTTTATATATCTGACATAATGCAGTTTACTGTGTTGTTGGCTAAGATAATACTGATTTATTAGATTTTAAACTGAGATAGGAATAATATTTTTATTTGGGGGTGTTGACTGCCTCTAAAATAGTTTCAAGGAAATAGATACATACTGTGTTCACAGGAAAAAAATAGGTTTGATAGTTTAAATCCCATCAATTTTTTTCTGCAGGATTAAAATACATTCAAACTGATTTTCTATGGCTTTAGAATTTTTAAAGATTTTTACTTTCATAAAAGTTGTTGCCCAAAATTAACATTCTGTGGGGTTTTTTTAGTGTCCTAGATACTCTACAGGCTAACTACTGCTGATATGTTTGAATTAAAATGGTATTTCATAGTAAAATCATAGCCTGTACAGTGAGATCACCCTAAGTCCTTAGCCTAAGCTCCTAGACTAAATGTGATTGTAGAATCTAGTTGAAATTTAACTTTGGTAAAAATCTGCTTTTTATAATCCCAAGCCACATTTTCAGTTATCATTTTATTAGAACTTCTGCCAATAAACTTCCAATTAAATAGAATTAGATTCAAATTTTTAGTAATAAATGTATTCTCTTATTTGTATTTATTTTTAGTTATGGGAATGCTACATGATTTCTCTAAATTTGGGGTTCATAAAGGATAACCTCTCCTTTAGTACAATAAATTTTACTGCTTTTCCCCAGTAGTTGACAGGTATTGAAGTCTACTTTGGTCATGACTTTCATGATGTGGCATTTTGGTTTTTTTTGTTGGCTTTTTTATTTTTGTTTGATTAAGGGCCCCTGGGTGGCTCAGTTGTTAGGCGTCTGCCTTCGGCTCGGGTCGTGGTCCCGGGGTCCTGGGATCGAGCCCCGCATGGGGCTCCCTGCTCAGCGGGAAGCCTGCTTCTCCCTCTCCCACTCCCCCTGCTTGTGTTCCCTTTCTCGCTGTCTCTCTCTCTCTCAAATTAAAAAACAAACAAAAAAAACCCTTAAAAAATTTTAAAAAAAAGTAAAGACTGGTTAGAAATTGTATGATTAATTAGAAAGAAAGATTTTTTTAAATGAAAAGAATAAATAGTAATTTTGGGATTTTTTTTTAACCTCTCTTGGTATATAAACTGAATTCCTGTGTTAAGTTGGGTGTAATATGGTCCCAAAAGAAGTTGTGAAGTGAGTTAAATACATATGATAAACACTTCATGGTAACAAACTTGACTTTTAGCTTTGAAATTTATAGTTTGTTTTTGTTTTAATTAAGAATTACCAGTCTTAGAAGCCGATTAGTAAAAGTAAAGAAGAAATATGGGTAGGCATAGATAGAATTAGTGAAATGCTACCCATTATCTGAATTGTGCATTTCGTGTATTAAGATACCAAGTGATGTACAGAATGTGAAACTTTGTATTTTGTGTATTTCTATATATGTATGGTTTCCACTCTTATTAAGCTGTAGCTGAGGATATCTTCTAGTTGACTTTGGCACCTTTTTATTTATTTATTTATTTTTAAAGATTTTATTTATTTGACAGAGAGAGACACAGCGAGAGAGGGAACACAAGCAGGGGGAGTGGGCGAGGGAGAAGCAGGCTTCCCGCCGAGCAGGGAGCCCTATGTGGGGCTCCATCCCAGGACCCTGGGACCATGACCTGAGCCGAAGGCAGACGCTTAATGACTGAGCCATCCAGGCACCCCAACTTTGGCTCCTTTTTAGTAGCATATTTAATTGAGTCAACATTTTAGAAATTAGAATTTAAAATTCAGCATCTAAATTCCTGTTTTGAAATATACTCGCCTCCGGCCAGGATGGCAACTGTTCTTTTAGATGAAGATTGGTGGTTGGGAAGATGGTGATAGCTGTAGAAACCGGCATCTGGATGGAGCTTCCAACAGCACTCTATACTCTGCCGGTGTAGTGCAAACCTAACCATGGCCAGTGTTCCAAAAAGCCTGTTTTGTCACTAATGATGTAATTACTAAAGGGATGGTCTGGGCCAGATATAGCGAACACACGTCTTATTTAATCCTATGTAGTTCAGCTTTAAACTAACCTACTGCAACAATTTTCACAGCCTTTAGCCCCTTGTTCAAAAGAAATCTTCATAAGGTGTGTAAGCAAACAACAGTACTGTGGTGAGTAGTTTTGGCTGAAGCCACTTTGGGGAGTAGGGGTACACTAGGGCTTACAGATTGTTTATGGGAAGAAGTTTCTCCTCAGATGAATTGGAGGGATGAGGAAGATGGTGGGTTCATGAAGAGCTTATTTCATTAGTGAATAACTTAATGAACTTGTGTTTACTGTTTAAATAGTTTTTTAAAATTTGAGGTACTGTCTCCTGATATCAAAAGGGAGCTCTTTTTATCTTAATATAATTTACTCTACTTTAGTATAACCAATGGGGTTCCAAGGTTAATAGGATTAGGTTGTGGCTCCTTTTGTATTTAACTGTTTTTTTACTTTGCTTCCCAACTTTGTTTTCCATGCCCCTTAGTCGTGGCCATTGGGCATGCTCATTAAGGAACCAGGGTAAGTTTTGAGAGTCATAGCTTCTTTTTACCAAAAGCCTTGATCTTCCAGAGCTGGAAACAGGCACTATTCTAGGAACACCCTCTTGCGCACATACCTAGCGCCCCCTCCACCCCATCCCCCCCCCCCCCGGATTTCTACCCTGAATACCTGCTACTGACACCCGCTAATTCACCAAGCGGGATCTCTTGCGTAGAAACTTAGGCTAGAAGTGTGTGGCCAGCCAGGGTAATTGCAGCCTTCCCTTCTAGGAACTTCCACGGATATTAATACAGGTGCTTTGCCTATATATTGATCTGATTGCATCAATTCTGAGAGCTCAGAGTTCTCAGAGCTGTAGAAATGATGCAGTATTAAATTGCCTGAGTTTGCAAATCTTTTAATGAAGATGATGGTTTTATTTTTTTATTTTTTTTTAAAGATTTTATTTATTTATTTGAGAGAGAGAATGAGATAGAGAGAGCATGAGACGGGGGAGGGTCAGAGGGAGAAGCAGACTCCCCGCCAAGTAGGGAGCCTGAGGCGGGACTGGATCCCGGAACTCCAGGATTATGACCTGAGCCGAAGGCAGTCGCTTAACCAACTGAGCCACCCAGGCGCCCCTGAAGATGATGGTTTTAAGGATTGACTGAGACTCAAGTGTTCATCATAGTGCCTGTGGCACATAAACAGCACATGGTAGTTGTTATGATTCCACATTTTGCTGTGCACTCTTGGCAGCCCCCTCCCTGTGGACAATGGGAGACGCTGGCTGATCTTGCCGTATTAATCTTTACACACCTTTATGGTGAACTGCAAGTTTAATTAAGAGAGGGAAAGCATTATGTGTTCAGCAGTATCTGAGAGTCTGTATCAATGACTCTTCCCAATCCAGTGACATAGACATTACCCCATTGCACATATGAAGAAACCAAGGCTTAGAAAGGCAGTTGCGTGCTTAACAGGAAAACAAGATTTGAGGGCAGGTTACCTTAGTGGTTAATCAGCATCCAATGTGGACTATGATTTCAAAGGCCTCTTCACTAGAAACTGCCCCCTGCCAAAAGTTCACCATTAGAATTTCCTATCTAGTTCTTAGCTCAGTGAAAATGTTACAAATTATAGTAGGTAACACCTATTTGTGTTTTCTAAGAACTTATTTAATAAATAAGGAAATTAGTTTGCTTTTTTATTATATAAATAACAACCATAGTTGAATGTCAATGCCATTATGACTGTATTCCCAGTTTACTTGGGTCAGATATTATAATCAAGGCGAAATGAAATGTGGTTTATATTCACACAGTTGCAAAAATAGGCCAATTAGCTCCCTTGATTGGATCATTGTTCCAGTGAGGCCAAGGTCACAGGTTTTGTGCATGTGCAGACCACAGCTGCACCCAGAGACTCTCCTGCCACAACCTGTGTCCCTGACCTTTGTCCGGTTATCTTGTGAACATGTGTCTTTAGGATCTGATTGGGAGTATAAATGACACAGAAAAAATCAGTTCCAGGCATAGGAAATTCAAAGGACATACTCCAAGTTGGTGGTATGTTAAGGTAAATCATTACGGTTTCTTACTCTTATATCAATTTTGGCCCATTATAAGATATTAACTTCTGCCCCAAATCAGTTTCATTTGTTAAAATAGTCAATTCTTAATTTATACATCAAGGCAGTTTCCAAACCTGTTGATTATTCCTAAATAAAACCAGTGCTTACCTACTTTATGGAGAAAAATGTCATCATTAGATATATTGGCTTATGAAATAAATTTTTAAAAAGTTTTTTGACTTTTTTTAGTGGTAACTGAAGTTGTACGTAAGGCTACAGATATATTTCACTTGCTTCATTTAAGTTTAAAGTACACAAGAATACAGGTGCTTTTTATTTCTTTTTGAAGCTTCACAGCACATCTGAACCTCATAACTGTCAATCTGTCTTGATTAGAAGGAACCCTCGTGGAGTAAGGTAATTACATGGGTCATCATTTTTAAGA